TCTCTCTCTCTCTTTCTCTCTTTCTCTCCCTCTCTCCCCCTCTCTCTCTCTATCTCTCTCTCTCTCTCTTTCTCTCTCTCTCTTTTTCTTTCTCTCTCTTTTTCTTTCTCTCTCTCTATTTTTATCCCCCTTTCTCTCTCTCAATTTGTCTCTCTCTTCCTCACCTCGTCCTCCTATCAATCCTTCTCCTCACTTTCCTTCTTTTAAATGGTAGGCTATTTAAAAGGAGAAGGTTGAAAACTCCGACTGAACAATAAAATTAACACTACAAATTTCTCTTCTTTTTTTTTTACCCCCAAAAACGCGTCGTCAAGAGTGAAGGTCGACACAGCGGGAAATAAACACAAACACAGACTCATAGACTAGACAGAAAGCTTACCTGTGAGGTAACGATCGACATTAAAAAATGAAACAAACACAGACACACAGACGAAATAAACACTTTACCTTTGAGGTAACGACCGATATAGATGGAAATAAACGCAGACACATAGACTATAAAGACAGCATACCAGTGAGAAAACGACCGCATAGAAGGAAACAACACAAACACAGACACAGACAAAAATACACAGACTATATAGGCAGCTTACATGTGAGGTAACGACCAACATACAAAAATGAAACAAACACAGACGCATAGACGATATAAACACCTTACATGTGAGGTAACGACCAACATACAAAAATGAAACAAACACGAACGCATAGACGATATAAACACCTTACCTGTAAGGTAACGACCGATATAGATGGGAAAAGACACAGACACATAGACTATATTATAGACAGCTTACCTATAAGGTAACGAGACTTAAACTAGGCCTACTTTTTCATCACCAGGGCTTTTATAGCTCACGTGTGAGGTGTTTAGCTAGCACGGGTAGACACAGTTTACTGATTGTGCTGTGTCATCGGCTCGTTGAGCGAAGAGTTGACACCTGGTTATCTGGGTTCGTCCAACTATTTCCTGACCGTGTTTGGTTGATCGACCTCCTCTCTGCCCCCGTGTGCATGTCACGCTTTTCTCCGACTTTTCTTTTTGATTTGTCGTTGTTCTAGAACTCACAACTGTGCTCCTTCTCCCATTCCCGCTCTCCTTTCTCCCTCCTGTCCCTCTCCTTCCTCACCATCCTTCCCCCCCTCCTCCGCATCCCCCTCCCACCCCTTTCTCCTATCCTCCTCCCCCTCCCTCTCCCTCCCCCCTCTCCTTCCTCCCCCTTATCCTCCTCTGATGGAAAACGATCTACCTTCTGCAGTCACCTGCTCGAACGACCACCTGTACAAGACAATCGTGGGTACATAAGACCACTTCCTACTGTATATTGTAACATAGAAACACCTTCATTAAGCAAGGACCATAACATTACAGCCCCTTCCCCATTTCTTTTTCTGACTCTCGCTTTCTCTGTCTGTCTGTCTGTCTGTCTCTCTCTCTATCTCTCTCACTCTCTCTCTCTCTCTCTCACTCTATCTCTCTCACTCTCTCTTTCTCTCTCC